CTCCGGTCTTCATCTCGTCGTATGACTGTCCACCAACTCCTTTTCTATCTCTCTCCGCTCTCCCTCCTACCCTCGGCCGACTACGAGCTGACCCGCTCACCTCATCCTCTCTGAATCAGACATCGCGGTCCTATCAAGAAAGAGCAATAGTGATAGAAAGAATGTAATGGCCAGAAAAAATACACAGTCAAGAATAATAAAATAAAAGAAATAAAGAGAAAAAGAAATAAAACCGACATGACACACATAACGATACTGGCTCTCGCGAGCTATGTCACGCCTATGTGCAGCCTCTACCGACCCAAAGGCTTAGTCTCAGTGAATTGCGACGAGCAGGAGGAGACGTATCACGACCGCGGCCCGCCTCCAAAACACAAAAGGCAAAAGAGGGACGCAGAACGAGAGGATCGCAACGGAGTCAGTCTTTCCGTTCGCGCCAGGTAGAAAGAATATGACCATAAAAGGACGTTGCACTAGAGCGGATCACAAGGAGAACCGACAAAGGCGAGTGGGCGTTCATCGCGCACATGTATATATTAGGAAGGCGAATAGAAGCAAGAAACGGACGCAGTCCCCTTTAAACGGCTAAGCCCACTTGATTATACTCCTTAGGTCATGTAGCTACGGGCAAGATGTTCGAGGAGCGCTGGGCGATATTGAATATGAGGGAAAGGAGGGGAAGGAGGGAGGTGGGCCAAAGGACGAGAGAGGGAGTAGAGGGAGGAGAGTCAGAAGAGGTGAGACGAAGAGGGGAAAAGGGAAAGGGAAAGGGAGGGAAAAAAAGAGGAGAGGGTAAGGTGACAGGGGCATGAGGGAAGAGAGGAAAGGGAAGGAGGACAGAAAGGGACGAGGTAGGCTGAGGGGAAGAGGGATGAGGAGAGAGGAAAGGGAAAAGGAAAGGGAGGAAAAAAGGGAGAGGGTAGGTGAGAGGGTGAGGAGAGAGGAAAGGGTTGAGTAAAGGGAAGGGAGGAAAGAAGGGAGAGGAGGAGGAAGGCGAGAGAGGAGAGTAGAGGATAGGACTGGGTCGTGGGAAGGGAGGATGGGAAAGGCGGAGAGAGGGTAAGTGAGGGGAAGAGGAAGAGAAAAGGGGAAGAGGGGAAGGGAGGGAGAGGAAAAGAAGCGGAAGAAGGGGTAGGGTTAGGGTGAGAGGATAACGAGAGGAAAAGAGGAGAGAGGAGGGACTGGGACGTGGGAAAGGGAGGAAGGAAGAGAACAGGGTAGGTGAGGGGAAGAGGAGAGGAGAAAGGGAAGGGAAGAAGGAAGGGAGAGAGGGTAGGTGAGGGGAAGAAGAGAGAGGAAAAGAATGAGTAAAGGGAAAGGAGGAAAGAAAGGATAGGGTAGGTGAGAGGATAAGGAGAGAAAAGAGGAGAGAGGAAGGGACTGGGTCGTGGAAAGGGAGAAAGGGTAGGTGAGGGGAATAGGAGAGAGGAAAGTACTATTGGAAAAGACGTGGAAAAAGGAAGGGAGGGAGAATGTGTGGGGATCCATAGGGGAAAAAAAGGAAGGGAAAGAAGAGAAAGAAGAAGAGAGGAGGGGAATAAGGGAAGACTAACTTCTAACTCTCTCTCTCTCTCTCTCTCTCTTCTCTCTCTCTCTCTCATCTCATTCTCTCTCTCTGCTCTCTCTCTCTCTCGTCTCTTCTACTCTCATCCTCTCTACTCGTCTCTCTTACATCTCTCTCTCTCTTACATCTCTTTACTCCTCCTTCTATATCCCTCTCTCTCTTCCCCTCCCCTCTCTTGCCAACCTCCCTCTCTCTCTCTCTCTTCCACACCAACAACTACCACCATCTCCTTACGTGCAAGTGCAGGAACCACCCTAATCCAGAGACAGCTGGTGGTTCCCGGTTCGCTGGTTCACATCCGTCATGTCCAGCGGTGCAAATGAATTGTCAACACACCAAGGGATTCGGTCTAGACTGATGGCCAAATTGACATAGCAGATACGGTCTGTTGGCTCACGTTGCAAATACAGTGTGTGTTTATTGCGTGACCTGGTCTTATCTGTACCTCTGGTGGGTGGGGGGGGGTGGGGTGGGGGGTTGTGTCTCCGTGTTTGTGTGTTTGTTGTGTCTTTGTTTGTGTCTTTAGTTTTTTTTTTTATTTTTTTTTTTTTCTTGTCTGGTTGACTGTTTTGTTTGTTGTGGGTGTATGTCTGCTCGGATATCTGTCTGTCTGGCTGTCTCTTCTATCTCGTCTCTCTCTATTTCCTCTCTTCTCTCTCTCTNGTGGGGGGGGGTGGGGGTGCACAAGCAACGAGTTACTCCTTGTCTCGAAACAGGAGTGGGGGAAGGGTGGGGGTGGGGTGGGGGTCACAAGGCGACAGATCCCCCTGTCTCCGAAAACAGGGAGTGGGGGAAGGGTGGGGGGTGGGGTGCACAAGCAACGAGAATTACTCCCTGTCTCGAAACAGGGAGTGGGGGAGGGGTGTGGTGGTGGGGGGTCACACAGCAACGAGATTACTCCTGTCTCCGAAACAGGGAGTGGGGGGAAGGGTGTGG